AACAAAGACTTGGAACCAACCCAAATGCCCATTAATGTTAGACTGGATAAAGAAAATGTGGCACATGTACACCATGGAATACTATGAAGCCATTAAAAAAGAATGAGTTCATGTCCTTTGCAGGGACATGGATGAACCTGGAAACCATTATTCTCAGCAAACTAACACAGGATCAGAAAACCAAACATCACATCTTCTCACTGATAAGTGGGAGTTGAACAATGAGAACATATGGGCACAGGGAGGGAAACATCACACACCCAGGAGTGTTGGGGGCTGGGGGGCTAGTAGAGGGATAGCATTAGGAGAAATACCTAATGTAGATGTTGGGTTGATGGGTGCAGCAAACCACCATGGCACATGTATACCTATGTAATAAACCTGCACGTTCTGCACATGTATCCCAGAACTTAAAGTATAATTTAAGAAAAGAATCCTTTTTTTTGCATTTTTATTAAAGTTTACATAAATCTGTTCAGAATCCAGATTACTGCTATCTAAATTTTAAATCATACAAATGCTATTGTGTGTAAGAGTGTACTTGCACACAGATGGGCAGCCTAAAAAAGCTATATTCCTCATAACAAATGGTGCTATGAATTCTTAAATGAATGTAAATAAGGATTTATGTTGATATATCTGTGGTCCGAAAATCCTACTGCGTGGTTACCCCATAGATTTAAATGCTGTAGCAGTCAATTCATCTAGTACAAAGAATAAAGCATTATACTTTCTCTCAGAGTTTCCTGCTCTCTCACATTTTTTAAAGGCTATTAATTGATAGTGTAAGATCTTTCTTCATTAATAGAATATGGATTATTCTAATGGTCATTTTAGTAAAGATACTCCTCAATGAGGCTGTTAAAAGAGGATATGGCACACATCTGGCAATGCTTGATTCATTCCCTGTGAGCATCAAGCAACTGTCATTCTGCTAAATGAGTTGTCATTAGCAGTCAGATTTTTATTCCAACCTTTTGGAGAAACACAGAAAGAAATCTAACTTTGAAGTAATGCCTATTGGAGGAGCTTTAATAGAGATAGAGTCTTAGTAAATCCCTTCTCCCATGTTCCCCATCCTAATATATTAGTAGTCTTTCTAAAATGGGAAGGTATTTGGCATGGGACTGGTGACCTAAAATTACCTCTGAAATCTGGCAAGGTATTTCAACACTGGCATGAATATTGTTTCCTCTCAGCCAGCATTTTTGGCAGGCATCTTATGCATTGCAAGTACCTACCAGAAACGGGAATTAGATAAGGTGACTTACAAATATGAATTAGCAATGGTTTCCTTTATTCAGGTTGGAATTTTCATGAGAAATTATGGTCTTAGCTTTTTTAGTCTTCCTTTGTACTTACACTATGGCAATTTCAAAATTTTACCTGAAGACAGACCTTATTGTACTAACAGATTTTCGACCTCCAGATAACTCTCTTCATTCCTTCCTTCCTTTCTTCTTTCCTTCCTTCCTACCTTCCTTCCTTCCTTCCCTCCTTCCTTCCTTCCCTCCTTCCTTCCTTCCCTCCTTCCTTCCTTCCTCCCTTTTTCCTTCCTCCCTTTTTCCTTCCTTCCTCTCTCTATTTCCCTTTCTTTCTTTTCTTTTCTCTTCTTTTCTTTCTTTCTTTCTTCCTTCCTTCCTTCCTTCTTTCTTTCTTTTTTCCTTTCTTTTATCTTTCTTCATTTCTCTCATATAAATAGTACATCATCATGTGCACGTATTTCATTTTATCATGCCAATATTTGCATTTTTCTCATTTACTGTGCTTCTACTGAACTCTGAAATTTGTACTAAATGAGGAAGTGGTTGAACTTTTCAGATAAAATGTTATCATTTCATTAACTGAAAAAACATTAATTAGATCCCTATGAGGGCAGTTGTTTTCAACTTGAAACTGTTTGCTAACTAAGGGTTCCCAAAGATATTAATAGAAATCTTAAGTTACTTTAAGTATTTCAAAAATTTAATTAGCTATCATTTGTATTTGCACATAATGAGACTATATGGGCTAACTAAAATGGCAACCTTCTTTGCTTTGGCTGACATTATCACACCTTTGACAATCCCACAGTGATCCCAGAAACTTCATTCCATGGATACATCATAGTATATAATATCTCCTGAAGTGATATATGTTATATCTGAAAATGAATTGCACCCCTACATATACTTAATTTTTTAGCTCCAGACTATAGCTATTAGCATAAATTCTTATACATACACACACACCCAAAAACCTGTAAAACATATTGCCACAGCATACTCAGGATAATAATGCTAACCTCAAATACAATGAATTTGTGATAAAATAAAGTTTTTAATCCCTTTACAAGAATTATCAAATGGTTAATGAAGAGTATAGGTCAACAGTGCTGCCTGGAGATGAGGACTGGGCAGGCACCCAGGCTCCCTACCAGCTCATTCATCAACTCCATAATGTTCAAAGCAAATACAAACCTGGGTGAAATGACTGCCACTGTGTTATGTACCTCCATGAGTGTTTAAACCTTCAGAGGTCAATGCTCTACTATAGTTCAAGTCACACATACCACTGTTTATCTCAGACTGAGGATGGGCTCTTATTGGCATGTACACACACTTTTTTAAAAAAAATTGAGGAAATTATACTAAATAAATGCAACTTGAACAAAACCTTTCAAAATATAAAATCCATTGATGAGGGATTGGGAATAACAAAAGGAGACTTGGAAGGTGGAAAGTGTAACATTTAGCATTTTTGTGTTTTGTCTTGCTACAGTGGAATACCACATAATGAGTAATTTATAATGAACAGAAATTTATTAACTGACATTTCTGGAAGTTGGGAAGCTCAAGATCAAGACACTGGTGTCTGGAGAGGGCTTTTTTCCTCTTTTATCCCATGGTAGAAGGGTAAACAGAAGGGGTGTGTGTGTGTGTGCGCGCGCGCGTGCGTGTGTGTGTGAAAGAGGGAGAGAGAGAGACAGAGCACACAAACAGAGGGCCAAACTCATCCTTTTATAGATAAGCCCACTCCCATGATAACAAACCCACTCCTGCAATAGAAACACTAATCCGTTTATGAGGGCAGAGCCCTTATGAACTAATCACTTCTTATTCGGGCCCATCTCCCAACATTGTTGCATTGAGGATTAAGTTCCAACATATGCTTTTTATGTTTTTGTTTGCTTTGTCAAATATTAGTTGGCTGTAAGTATCTGAGTTTACTTCTGAGTTCTCTATTCTGTTACCTTGATCTATGTAGCTATTTTTATACCTGGACGATGCTATTTTGGTGACTATGGCTTTATAGTGTATTTTCAAATCTGGTAACGTGATGCCTCCAGATTTTTTCTTTTTGCTTAGTCTTACTTTGGCTATGTGGGCTCTTTTTCGGTCCCATATGAATTTTAGAATGCTTTTCTCTAATTCTCTGAAGAATGACAGTGGTATTTTAATGGGAATTGTGTTGAATTTGCAGATTGCTTTTGACAGTATGGTCATTTTCACAATATTGATTCTACTCATCCATGAACATGGGATGTGTTTCCATTTGTTTGTGTCGTCTATAATTTCTTTCAGCAGTGTTTTGTAGTTTTCCTTGTACATGTCTTTCACCTCCTTGGTTAGGTATATTCCTAAATATTTTATTTTATTTTGTTTCATTTTATTTTTTTGCAGCTGTTGTAAAAGAGATTGAGTTCTTGATTTGATTCTCAGCATGGTCACTGTTGGTGTATGAAAGAGCTACTAATTTGTGTACCTTAATTTTGTATCCAGAAACTTCGCTGAATCCTTTTGGCAGTTCTAGGAGCTTTCTGGAGGAGTCTTTAGGGTTTTCTAAGTAAACAGTCATATCATCAGCAAACAGCAACAGTTTGACTTCTTCTTACCGATCTAGACCCCCTTTATTTCTTTCTCTTGTCCGATTGCTCTGGCTAGGACTCCCAGTACTATGTTGAAGAGGAGTGGTGAGAGTGGGCATCCTTGTCTTGCTCCAGTTCTCTGAGGGAATGCTTTCAATTTTTCCTCATTCAGTATTCTGTTGGCTATGGGTTTGTCATAGATGACCTTTATTACATTGAAGTATGTCCCTTTCATGCCAATTTGGTTACAAATTTTAATCATAAAACAATGCTGGATTTTGTCAAATGCTTTTTCTGCATTTATTGAGATGATCATGTAAGTTTTTGTTTTTAATTCTGTTTATGTGGTGTATCACATTTATTGACGTGCATATGTTAAACCATCCCTGCGTCCCTGGTATGAAATGCACTTGATCATGGTGGATTATCTTTTTGATGTGTTATTGGATTCAGTTAGCTAGTATTTTGTTAAGGATTTTAGCATCTATATTCATCAAGAATATTGGTCTGTAGTTTTATCTTCCGGTTATGTCCTTTCCTTGTTTTGGTATTAGGGTGATACTGGTTTCACAGAATGATTTAGGGAGGGTCCCCCCTTTCGCTATCTGGTGGAATAGTGTCAATATGATTGGTGCCAATTCTTCTTTGAATGTCTGTTAGAATTCTGCTGTGAATCTGTCTAGTTCTGGACTTTTTTATTGATAATTTTAAAATTACCATTTCAATCTTGCTGCTTGTTATTGGTCTCTTCAGAGTATCTAATTCTTCCAGATTTAAGTTAGGGGATTGTATCTTTTGTCTGTAGGAAGCTAATAAAAATTACCCTGTCCATGGGAGAAGGGAAAAGAAAGGCAATGTGGAGGAGTGTAAAGTGTATAGAATCTGAACCTACTTCTGTTTGAGCTCAAATCCCACCTCCATTATTCATTATTTACTGGCAGTTTGACAAGTTATTAATTGATCGCAAGTCTAGTTCCTCCTAAATAAAATGTCCCCTGGTATACTTCTCTGTTGATACATAAATGACACTTAGCCTCTGTGCTTTTTCTTACTCTGTGTTGTCGTAGTGTTTGGTGCTTGTCTCTGTTTCTGCAGCTACATAGTATTATGCTTTTATGCATTTATTCTTAATATTCATTTATCAAGCACTTACTTGGTGTGCTAGGCCAGTTCCAGATGCAGGAGAAATTCACACAATGCCTGCTTTCATGGAACTTAGAATCTAATAGAAAAAGAGAGACAATAAAAATAAATACTTAGTAAATATTTAAATAAAAATCATAAGATTTTATCAGTTATATCTAAAGAATTAAAGTGTGTAGTAGAGGGCAACTTGCAAGTTACTTTAGACTGAAGGTTAGGAAAGGCTTTTCTGAGAGAGTGAAGTTTAACCTGAAATAAATTACAAAAAGGATCTAGCCTTACAAATACTGAGGGAAAGGGGGACCCAGGCTGAGGAAAGAGCTAGAACAAAGGTGCCAGGTTTTCCCTACTAGACGATGAGTTCCACCTGGGCCATTTTTATGTGTTTCTGATTGCTCCCATGTTGCATTTTAACATATTACTTTATTTCTATGTAGTACCACCTATTGCTAATGCTGTATAACAACCATACGATTTCTCTGCTTAAAACTCTTCAGTATCTTCGTCTCATTGGACTTAGAATAAAATCCAGAGTATAAAGTAGAAGCTCCATGACAATAAGAGTAACATATGTCTGGTTTGCCACAATGTCTCCAGCACAGGTTTCCATGTCTGATAAGAAGTAAATGCTTCGGCTTGTAGAATAACAGTAAATGAGTACATGAATGAAACTGAGCTCTGTATCCCAGCCCATCAATCTCTTCAAGGGTTAGCAACCAGAATTTCTCCTTTAAACCACCCTCTTACTGTACTGGCCCTTTGCCATTCAGCACATGAATTTTTCCCACCTGAAAAACAAAACCAACAGTAACAACAACAACAATAACAAAACCTTCCCTTTGACCCCTTTAGCTGCCAACCCTCCTCCTTCTCAAGTGTCATAACTTCACTTGCCGCCCACACTCAGAATATCATTTCTACCCACAGTTTTCAAGTTATCATAACATATATAACTGCCAAAATCAATGGACTATTTTTTTTCTCATCTTATTAGACTGCTGGACTTCCTTTGGTGTTGTTAATCTCCTTTTTCTGTAAACTGTCTCTCTCCTAAGCTTCTGGTTTTCCTTTCTCCAGTCACCTCTTATCTTCCTCATGGGCTGTTTACTTCTCATCCTTCCACCCCGACTGGTTTACTCTCACCACTCTGTTTCTTTTACTGTACGATAAGCCCTAAAGAAATAACCCAAACTCATGGCTGTAATTAATACCTATATAATTATGACCCTATGATTTATCATTATCCCAGATATCTTCAAAGTTCCATATAATAATGGCCCTTATTTATTGATTGTTCATTATTACATGGGAACTCTGCTATGAACTTTAAACATGTGGTTTAATTCCTCAATGCTTTTTGAGGTAGAAATATGATTATTTTCATTTCATACAGGAGGAAACAAGGTCTTATACAGTTTAAATGAATTGCTCAAGGCCACACACATAGTGGCATATCTGGGATTTGAATTCAGGCTGCTAGACTCCATGATTTTGATCAGTATATTATATTGCTGCATATACAAGAGTTATTTAAGTTGATTATTTTCAAGTATCTTAATTGCAAATTATGTTGAGTATAATTCATCAAGATCAAAACTGACTTTCATATATCAAATTGAGAGGCTTTCCTAAAAATATGCTCTCTTCCTAGAAAACTTTATATTTTACTCTTCTTTTTAAATTGCTTATCTGTACATCTCTTCAGGAAGCTTCTCCTGGAGGAGGAAACTTTAGGATAAAAGAAAATATACAAAAGCACAAAATGTGTCTTCTTTGATCAATGGTTTAAGGCTAAGATTTCAGTCTGATATTTTTGTTCTGTTTAGCTTTGCTTTACTTAGCTTTTGTTAATGCTTCAGTAGACTCTTTACACCAGGAAATAGTGGATGACCAGTTTACTAATAGCTAGGTTTCTTTTCTCTAAGAGGGTAGATGAGACAGACAGATGTGTAGCCAGATTATTAGGCAAACAGATCAAACATTGAAATGTCTGAAGGCTGGAGGAAAAGAAAAACTGAAAAACAGATGATGGTCAAAGACAGGGGTATACAATCAGATTATTTGTGCTCTCTATCCATCTTGCAACTTGTCCATGGGAAAATTATTTAAACAAGCTAGCCTCATAGTTCTCATACATAAAATAAAAATAACTGAACTACCTGCCTCTTGGAGTTGTTGTGAATGGTAATAAGATCTGCTATGGCTAGGACAGTGCCTTACACACAGTGAATATTCAACCAAAGATGTTGAGACTGTTATGGTCCATGCTTTCCTCATATCCTCCTGATTCACATGCTCTACTAGATGATCGCTTGCCAAACAATTATGGCTACAGTCCATGGAACTAGAGTTCACACTAACAAGCAGGTGGATTGGGTGAAACCCTTATTTCAGGATCCAGTTTAAAGACATCAGTATGTGTTTCTAATCTCACTGATATGGTTTGGATATTTGTCTGCCCAAACTTCATGTTGAAATGTGGTGCCCAGTGTTGGAGGTGGGGCATGTGGGAGGTGTTTGGGTCATGGAGGCAGATCTCTTATGGCTTGATGCTATCCTCACAATAATGAGTTCTTGCAGGATCTGGTTGTTTAAAAGAGTGTGATACTTTCCTGTCTTCTCTCTCTTGTTCCTGATCTCAGCACGTGACATACCTGTTCCTACTTGCCTTCCACAATGAGAAAAAGTTCTCTGAGGCCTCCTCAGAAGCCAAGCAGATGCTGGCCTCATGCTTTCACAGCCTGTAAAGGCTTGAGCCAATTAAACCTCTTTTCTTTATAATTTACCCAGTCTCAGGTATCCCTTTATTTCTTTATAGCAATGCAAGAACAGCCTAATACACACACCTGAAAAGACGAGACATGCTAGCGAGTCATAACTGCTTAATGAAAAGAACATCACCTAGAATTCCTATCCACTTAGCTGGGTGCTGTCATATCTACCAGTTTATGTGGAATAGAGAGAAATTGGTTTAACTCTGTCTTGTGTCACTTTTATACCTGACTTAATCAAACTTTCTGAATACATAAATAGTAGGAAAATTGAAAGGTAAGCCCAGGGAAACTGATAATTATTTCACATTTTTACATAGAATATTTAAAACCTCAAGGAAATTGGATGAGACCGATTATACCTGGCTGTTTAGAATGTGTTATGAGTAAACTACATTATGGAAATTAATTAGAAGCTTAAGGGAGATGCATTACCAATTTCAGATTCTAATTTAGATGGATTGGGTGGTATGGTAATTTAAATTCACCTCATTTTGTATATTCTAAAGACTGCCACTTTGGGGGAGTTAAGGTAACTTTTCTGATTCCATAGACAGTGTGACATGAGCAGCACTCACCCCAAGGCTTGCACTTTTAAGAGGCTATGATTTTCTTCCAGGGCATATTTATACTCTAATAAAATCCTAATTTGATGATCTATCCATTTACTGTACAATAGTGATGACAATGTGAGGTTGTGCAAATCCTGGTGCTTCATATTATAGACAACCAGCGCCCATCTTCCCACAGGGCTTACACTGTATAGCCCCAGAACATCTTCAGTCATGAGATTCATTGTTACAGTGTGGACTCTCAGAAAGTACATACAGAATGAAAAAGAATGACATGAAAGGAGGAAGAAATCCGTATTTTCTCCACAGGGGCCCTAATGCTGGCAACATTATAGCCCCTCTTCTAGATCTGACCTTCATGTAGCTGACCTATATGATGCTCCTGAGTACACATCACCAATACTCAGACAGTTCTGTGAAAACAACAGACTAGAGGCCCTTAGCAGGACTGGTAAAAGTGCTCTCAACAACATGGTTGATATCTTGTCCCTGGAGCGCTTGGTGTATGACTTCCCCTTTCCCAATAGGACTATGACTTTGTTCATCTCCTCATGTAAGAAGGCTCCTCACAACCATCTGTTGCCCTCATTGCATCTTTGACCTGGGCCTGGATCTTACAGATCAATGAGTCAAACTAGCATCCCTGATTGTGTGCAAGTGCCATGGTTGCCCATACATAGTCTTAATGAGAACTCAGTGTTCTTTCATACATTTGAGCAAAAATAACATACCTAGATTCATACACATAAAAATAATGCAAATCCTCCTCAAATTTCATAAATGCATATCTTTCTTAATCAAATAAAACTATACTTGAGATGAAAGTAAATTCATCCAAAGGCACGTTCATTTTGAAGTCACTGAATGCATGTGTAAAATTACTCTGTCCCCCACACATACTCTAGTAAATACCATCTATGATTAAGATTATCCACATTATTTTGAGTTCAAACTTACTTTTACTCTTGCATAAAAATTGGCAAAGTCTCATCTGACAAGGTTGGAGGTGGTTCTTCCATAGAATGGAGTGATCAGATTCACATAAAGAGAAAGAACACAACATTAGAACAATGTTTTTCCATTTATCTGATCACTCACTTTCCATGTACTTGTAGGTGACTATCTCTTTTTTAGGGGCCAATGCAATCCTAAAAGATTTCAGCTGACAACAACAAAAAAGTGTATCAGGATTGAATTGAGATGTGTTAAAATTAACACCTTGGCTTTTTTTTTTTCTTATTTCACTCTGTGTGATAAAATACTAATGTGTGACCCTGTGAGCTTTGGAAGGAAGCTTCTCATTTCTGATATTCTTCCTTCTGTTATCACTACTTTTACTATATAAATCTCAAAGTAAATGGAAGGGGGAATCTCAATGGGTAGAAGTTGTTCCCACTCCAGCTGCTAGAACAAGTAGCGATAGTTCATCCACCTAGGAGTCCTTGTTCATGTCCACATGGCCTCTGCCACTGGGCGAGCAAGGCTGGCTCATTACTCAAGGGACTCACGCTCCCATTTGAATTAATAATAACTGGCATACGAATAGCACTTTTATTTACAAATCCACAAATTTTTTCCATGTATATTATGTGAATTTTGTCCCAAACCCTACACGTAGGAAATTTTAAGAATTAAAATCTCTTATTTTACAGCCAGGAAAGCAAACTCAGGGTGGTGATTTATCAGGACATACAGCACATTTATAGTGGAGCTAGGTCTCAAAACTAGATATTCAGATGTAAGGAAAGGTCATGTTGCTAATGTTCTGCACCTTTTTTTTTAGAGTATCTGTAAGTCTAAACACAGCCTTTCGCACCACTGTGTGTACTCCTGTATCATCATGTGCCTGCATGCCTGTGAAGTAGTTGGTCAGAAGTGTTTCACATAGAGAAGAACAAGGAAACACACATCTTATTTTGGCAAAAGGGAAGAGATGATTACTGCTTGAATGGGTACACGTGCTTACATACAGGCACACCACAAAAAACTCTATCATATCACAGATTTACTTTCTAAAAACAGTTTTCTTACAAGTTGATATTTGTATTGTTATGAAATATTTGTATTAAATTATGACCACAGTACAAGTACAGTCCTATATACCTGTACACCAAGTTAATGCAAAAGAACTAACATCAATAATCCTAGATTTCTCTCTCCATTCACCAGGTTTCCATTAGCTATGGCAACCCAATTAAAGAATGTATTGAATGGAAATGAATTAAATTCAACCAGAAAGAAGATAACACTCTTTACATTTCTCATATTGTTACATCATTTTCATTGTTTCCTTAGGGAAGGAGGATGAATAGCATTTGTTCAACATTTTCTAATACAAAGGTAACTTCCACATACAGTATCTGCTTCAACCCTCCCATTAACCAATTAAATTAAAAGGTAGTTTTATTATTCCTGTTTCTCAGATAAAAAATATCTGAGACTCAAAGATGTTCAATTACTTGTCTCAGACCTCATACTCCTAGGTGCCATACCCAGAATCCCAACATAAGTGTCAATTCATTTTTTTCCTTTTTAATATTTTTCTAATTTTTGCAGAAACATAGTAGGTGTATATATTTATGGGGTACAAAAGATATTTTGATACAGGCATGCAGTGTGTAATAATCACATCAGGGTAAATGGGGTATTCATCACCTCAAGCTTTTATCCTTTGTGTTACAAACAACTCAATTATACTCTTTTAGTTATTTCAAAATGAACTGTTAAATTATTTTTGACTACAGTCCCCCTTTTGTGTTAGCAAATACTAGATTTTATTCATTCTTTCTATTTTTTTAATCCATCATCCATTAACTCTTAAATTAAAGTGCCTTCCCTTTTACCTTAGTACATGTCGGGAGTATCCCAGAAAGAAGAAGAAGGACGCTGGACAGCAGGAATTGGGAAAACAGGCATGACTCTTGTTCCTTCCTGAGTTCTCACTCCTACTGAGCTACCTGTGTCATTCCAATCTTGTCAAAAAACAAAGGAGTTTCTGTAGAACAGATAGAAATGGAAAGGAGATGCCAAGCACTCAGGAGGGATCTCTGTCAGGTCACTTAATATCTGGAACGAAAGCACAGGAGTGCCTGATCAAAGAGTTAATAAAGGTGACTTTCTTTGCCACAATAATCTTTATCACCTCCTCCCTTCACTAAAGATATATTCTAAGTAGAAAGTTTGCTTTATATACAAACAGCTTCAACACATACCCACATTCTTCCTTCCATTATTTCAACCAGATAATCACACCTATGTTTTTTCGTATAGAAATTTTGAGGACCCTCACTTGTTTCTGAGATGTTCCTATAAATTGAGGGTAATTCTTTTTCACTTCCTAGAAAGGACTTCCATCCCACTCAGAATAGCCCACAATATACTACTATGGTAGTGATGAGAGATCCAAATCTCAGAGATGGGCAAAGGAAAGTTCATATTCAACTTAGACCAAGAAGTTGAGGTGGGAGGGTGGGAAGAGGGCAGAAGATAATTGCAAAAGTGATGGGGTATTAATAGAAAGTGGCCGTAGTAAAACTCATGCACATATGTCCAAGGTCAAATTCCAAGAGAGAGAAAAAAAAAAAAAAACAGTTAAAAATGACCTCAGTACAATTTCGGGATGAAATGAAATCAAAAGTGGAAAGAGTTAGAAGGGCTTCATATACTACAAAACCTAAATTAGCTTTGTTTTGGAGAAAGTTTACTAACAGATGCCAGGTTCAACAGAAATGCCTCTGGCAATGGCAGAAACACTAACAAACAAAATCTGCAGCTGAGAAACAAACTGCCGGGTCATTAAACAAAGAGGCACACAGCCGGGCGCGGTGGCTCACGCCTGTAATCCCAGCACTTTGGGAGGCCGAGGCGGGTGGATCAGAAGGACAGGAGATCGAGACCATCCTGACTTACACGTGAAACCCCGTCTCTACTAAAAATACAAAAAAAAATTAGCCGGGCGAGGTGGCAGGCGCCTGTAGTCCCAGCTACTCCGGAGGCTGAGGCAGGAGAATGGCGTGAACCCGGAGGCGGAACTTGCAGTGAGCCTAGATCACTCCACTATTCTCCAGCCTGGACGACAGACCGAGACTCCGTCTCAAAAAATAAAACAAAACAAAACCAAAAAACCAAAGAGGCACACTACTTTAGCACCAGCACCTTAAAAAAAGACCAGTGTCTGTACACTGGGATATTGCAAGAACTTTCCACATGAAATCTTCCTTTGTAAGACACATAGAGCTGCCACACACCAAATTTCTGCTTTGGATCCTAGAACTGTAACAAAATAACAATAAAATACAATTGGTATAACTCTTGAAGTTCCCTAAGCAAATTGTAAGCCAAAATGTATTTAACCTGCCCACGAATGATTTTTTTCTCATGCACTTCAAAGAATGCAGTCCTATGTGCGAAAGAATTTTGTTCTGGTCAGGACACAGAACCGAGTTTGTATAATTGTTAAAATAGTCATGAAAGCGATCAAAAATATCTCATCAATTCGTTTATGTTCTCAAGATTTTTAGTTTCTTTGCGCTGGGTACGTAATTCCTCCTTTAGCTCTGAGAAGTTTGATGGACTGAAGCCTTCTTCTCTCATCTGGTCAAAGTCATTCTCTGTCCAGCTTTGATCCGTTGCTGGCGATGAGCTGCGCTCCTTTGCCGGGGAAGATGCGCTCTTATTTTTTGAATTTCCAGCTTTTCTGCCCTGCTTTTTCCCCATCTTTGTGGTTTTATCTGCCTCTGGTCATTTATGTGGTGAATGTACTGATTGGGGTTTTTGTGGTAGGTGTCTTCCTGCTTTGATAGTTTTCCTTCTAACAGTCAGGATCCTCAGCTGTAGGTCTGTTGGAGATTGCTTGAGGTCCGACTCAGACCCTGTTTGCCCTGGGTATCCAGCAGGCAGGAGGTTGCAAGAAGTAGAATATTTCTGAACGAGCGAGTGTACCTGTCTTGATTCTTGCTTTGGAGCTTCCTCTCGGGGTGTACTCCACCTGTGGTAGGTTGGGGGTGTCGACTGCCCCTAGTGGGGGATGTCTCCCATTAGGCTACTTAGGGTCAGGGGACCTTGAGCAGGAGTCCTGTCCCTTTCTCAATCTCAACTCCCGTGTTGGAGATCCCAATGCTCTCTTCAAGCTGTCAGACAGAGTCCGTTTGGGGTCTGCAGAGTTTCTCGCTTTTGTTGTTATCCTGTGCCCTGTCCCCCAGAGGTGGAGTCTACAGGACGAAGGCAGGTTCTCTTGAGCTGCTGTGGAGCTCCACCCAGTTCGAGCTCTTCCAGCCAGCTTGTTATACCCTACTTAAACGCCCTCAGCAAATGGGGGCGCCCTCCCCAGGCCCTCGCTGCTGCCTTGCCCGTAGATCACGAACCTGGCAGTGCTAGCAATGAGGGAGGCTCCCTGGGTGTGGGACCCTCCCGGCCAGGTGTGGGATATGATCTCCTGGTGTGCCTGTTTGCTTAAAGCGCAGTATTGGGGTGGGAGTTACCCGATTTTCCAGGTGTTGTGTGTCTCAGTTCCCCTGACTAGGAAAAGGAATTCCCTTCCCCCTTGCGCTTCCCAGGTGAGGCAATGCCTCGCCCTGCTTCAGCTCTCGCTGGTCAGGCTGCAGCGGCTGACCAGCACCAGTTGTCCGGCACTCCCCAGTGAGATGAACCCAGTATCTCAGTTGAAAATGCAGAAATCACCGGTCTTCTGTGTCGCTCGCGCTGGGAGTTGGAGACTGGAGCTGTTCCTTTTCGGCCATCTTGCTCCGCCCCCCGTTTATGTTCTCAAATATTTAATAAGAACCTACTATGTACATGATGAACTCTATTTGACACTGGGAATGCAAAGAGAAATACAGCAGATTTTTAAAAATGATCCATTGGGTTTGGAGCTCCAGATTCTGATAAATCCAGAAGGGAACCAAAAAAATCCAGAGAATAGCATCATTTGAGGGGCAGCAAGCTCCCAGAGATCAATGAGAATGGTCAGCTTGGAGATCTCTGTAGATCTTTGGAAGTTTGCTCTCTTTAAATGTTTAAAGTGCTGACTTAACAAAGAATGGGTAGATGTGTTCCATGGGGTACCAGGGGACAAAACCATAGAAGTTATAGGGAGAGGTATTTCGACCCAATAAAATTAAGGAGCAAAACGGGCCAGCTTACAAAGGCTTTCAGACTCTGGAAATACTCAAGTAGAGGTTGAATAATCAACTTGTTAGAACATCCTAATGGGGCTTTTGGCTCCTGTATGAAGTTAAATTTAAATCTATTAATCTGAGATAGTAAGACCAGTGGTGTTGGATGACTCAATCTCATTGATTCCTTTTATATGAAAAAGTAATAAGATTAGCATTGTATAACTTTAAAATTATGCTATGTTATTTGCTGTGAAAATAATTTTAATAATAAGATTATTAAAAAGTAGACCTCTAACAAGCAACAAATACTTCCACCCTTGGGGATTAGGGTAGGACAATAAGTGTCTTCAGTTCCTTATGCTCCTGTATCTCTGATTTCTTTTTTTAGTCAGTTTGTAATCGTTGTATCATAAAGTTTTACTCTAAGAAAAGAATAATGCATCCCCAAGGTCAGGGTTGAGCCTCCTTGCCTATTAGGTACAGTGTGGTCACTAGAAGTACATTGCTGTTTTAGACAGAAATATCTCATTCCCACCACTTGGTCATGAAAGTCATGGTTTGAGTACCTTCTGCCCAAGTATGAATTACTTGTACGAATGTTACCTATTTTAATGGAATGTCTGGTCAGTCAGTAGTTATTTTAGTTCTGGGTATTATATGGCAGCTATCTGTAGGCTATTAAATTGCTTTCCAAATCTGTTGAAGTAGCAGTTGTTACAGGATTAACTGGGTCAAGAGAGTCTAGAGACTTTAATAAAGTTGAATCAGAATTGGATGCCTCTGTTAGATAACCTTCATCCTCTCTGAAACCATCCAACAAAGTCTTTCATACTCTTGCTTCTGTTTCTTACAAGAGATGCTCTGTTTCTTTATCACTAAAGTCTTTTTATTGCCTTTTTTTTTTTGACACTTTGATTTATTCCTGGTATTGGATAAATAAAAAGTACAGCAGGAATACATAAAAGTGGGTAATGAGGAGGGGATAATATCTATCAGAATTAATGGAGTATAGAACTATATTTAAATAGTGTTGTATTAGTACAAAACCAGACATGTCTAAAACAGAAACTTGTCATAAAAGAGATACTTCCAACAAGTGGCAATGGGAAAATTGCCTAACTACTTGGGGAGGGGAGAATGTTAGATTATTACTTTTTATCATTGTAAGTTTTATCAAGATTAAATAATTATATATAAAGAAATTAAACCATACTGACAGTAGGAGAAAATAAACACTTTATATGGCATTGTGGTGGAGAAAGTCTTCCTAAGCATGATACCAAAAGCAGAAACCAAAAGTACGAGACTCGTAAGTACAACTAATTAAAAATTAGGATATCACATATAACAGCAAAGGGAATAATTAAATGCAAATGATAAACTCTGAAAATATTTACAACGTATATGACGTACTAATACAAAAAATAGTTCTTAAAAATGAATAGAAGCTGAGAAAAAAGTATCCCCCCAAAATAGCCTTAAGAAATGAAGAAATGATAAGAAGATATTTCTGTGGTTTCTAATATATTTGATACGTACGTGGTTTTCAATACTTTTCTGTTTTAAATGACACGGTAATGAGTGTGTTTCTACATATGTTGGTGCATTTATTCACAAAGAGAGAAATTCGTATTTGGTGAGATTAGTCATCCCATGTCTTGACCTTCTCTATCTGTAGGTGTCTCATTTGCTTCACACGAATTCCAAGTCATCTTCTTCCCTTTGATTTATTTCTATCTGTCTATCTAAAATAGACTAATATGGAATTAATGATACAATTTGTGTGCTAACCAGAGTCCACTCTGAGTCACAACCATCAGATGTATAAAAACATTATGTTGTACATTACAAAATATATACAATGTTTGAAAATTACAAAAGAAATTAATTAATAAAAAATAAAAGACAGTCAGGATAGAAAAAACAAATGAGGCACATATTAATCTTAAAGCCCAGCAGCTGGGATGTCCCTTCCCATGACTTTATTCAGCTGGAATTCTCCTTCTCTGAGCTTCTCCTTCTCTGAAATCCTTATTCAACTGTTTCTTTAAGACAAAATTCTTGCCACATTTGTTTGGTCATTCCAGTTGCTAATACAGAACCTGGCATGTAATATACACTCAATAGTGTTTGATGCATGAACTCATGTGAAGGAATAAGCTAAGTTTCTTTTCTTCTTTTGGGTCATCATGAGAAGATAAGGAGCAAAATTTGTAAAGATAATTGTAAAATGTGTACATCTAGTGAGGAAGTTAGTCCTATCTACAACCCAATCCCCTTTTCTTGTAACCAAAAGGATCCATGTTAGAGGAAGACCTGTGTGCCTAAACTTGTATTAGATCCTACCAGCAGTCTTAAAGATAAGAAAAGACACAGACTATGCCTGGCAGGAGATGGCAATCTAATGAGATAAGTAAGTTACAAATGCATACATGACACAGACACAAAAATTGAAAAAAAAAGAGAAGAGTATGCAGGCAAATATTTGTTCAGATTTAAAAGACGTTTTTGGAATGATTAGGAATGCAGATAACTAATAGGCTGGAGAAACAGTCCACACTGTGCACCACTTTGGCCCTGCTCCTTGGCTGTTTTCCACCACAATTAGTTGTCTGACAACCTTGCAAGATCTTAATAAAAATAACTCATAAGATTTAGTCACATCAGAAAAGTCATCAAAATGAGTGATTGCAAATGTTTTGAAATGGTCATGAGCTAGATAAGCATCTAGGATATACATTTTAAAAATTGCCTTATCTCTTTCATCTCCAAAGAAAACACCAGAAGAATACTGTCATAACTTCAGCACTCTCACCTCATCCTTCAAAACCTATTAATATCACATTGTGAAGTTGGTGCCATTGTCAAGAGTCCAATACAATCCCACAGCATTTCTTTCTGTTATTTTTTCCTTTCTTGGAGTAGTAACCTTTTTCTAATCTTGTTACACACATTTTTATGCTTTCTAACCTAGTAAATACCAGATGTATTTTTGCTTGCAATTACATCAGATTTCATGACCTAAAGGAGCATGAAAGAATATAATTACACTATTTATATAAATAAAATACTCAGGAGATTGTGTAAAACCCATCACAGTTCACAAAGCCCATTTGCACATAGTTGTTGTCAACTTAAAACCACTCTATGACTTGTTTGGACAGATTATAGTGGGTTTTTTTTTTTTTTTTCCATTTTAAAAAGGAGAAAATTGAAGTTTAGAAATGCTAACGAAAATTCTCAAGGTTAACAGAGCATACAGATGGTAAAATGATTCTTGAAAAACGTTCATCTGCCTCTAAAACTATGATACCCTGTTCCTATGTGTGGGATGCACAATTGAGAGAAAGAGGCAGAGAGGCAGCTGATCTTCCCTAGTGCCCCTAGTATAGTAGTCGGGAGATCAAACAATGTCCTAAACTCAGTGTACTATCATAGCAATAACTCAATCCATAACTCCTTCCTTATCATTCTACACTTCCCACTAGAAAAAAATGTCACTTCCCTGGACTGGCTACATTATTTACAGGAACCAATACCCTCTTCTTAGGGTTTTCCCAATGCAAAATTGGAAAAAGCATAGAAAAACCTTCTCCTGGTATTTTATTACTAAATCTTTAGGTATACATCTTAATTTTTGGATGCTTCTATTTCTCTCACAGCCACAGAAATCCCAAGTTTCTTAGGACTTTCACTATCTTGAGCCATCTACCAGAACCACCTTCTCTAGGAAGAACCCTACGTACTTCCCTGTTTTGGTCATCTTTTCCATAGAAAGAGGAAAATAAATGAGTTCATACTAAGACATTGATGATAGCAATTTGATAAATGAACTTCTCTATTGATGGCAAATTATTTCTTTTATGAGTCTCTTATTGATTCATTTCAGATATCAGCGACAGGCTGCAAGGGGAAATATTTGGAAATGGTTAGTCTTACTAGCAACTGCTACCCATAAACCTCACCATAACATTAACTAGATGGATATTTTTAAGTCTGCCATCCTAGATTTAGATTAATAATTTGTCTATATTGCTTTTAAAATGAAGAATTATATTTTTCAATGCTTAGATTATTACACTGAAATATTGTCTGAATAAAAATAGTAAACCATCACTGACAAATAACTTCTACTTTCAACATGTCAGAGAAAACCATAAAAGACAGAGAAAAGAGACTGGATGCTGTGGAAGTTTCCCAGTGGGTCCAAAGGAAATAAAATGGCCCCTTTTCCTGAGCCATTTTAAGCCTTGATTACATTAACTTTTAGAAAATGCACGAAGAAAATATTTCAGAGAAGGGTCTTACTGGGATAAGTTCATATATTTCTTGGAACTCTGGTAGCCCATGAATGATAGCATATGTTAGTGTTAACCTTGTGTTACATTTCTGAGCCAGTGTCCAGCACAGCCTCTGAGGCCATCTGCTTTCAGCCCTGAAAATAACCAGAGATGACTGAATTCTTGGAACATATTTTTCCTACTGTTTTATTAGTAAAACATTTCCACCATAATCAATCTCTGTGGTTTACCCCAAGCATATATTTGACAAGCATCCTGAGTTTGGTTCTTTAGTACACACAGTAGACTTTATATCCCCAGGAAAGTGATATTTGACATTGGAGAAGTTTCAATACACATGCAGTGGAATCCTATAAAGTCTCATTTGCTTCTCTCTCTGCTCTCAGGAGGAAAAGGGACATGTACTAAATGAAACCGCAAGAGTAGGGAGATAAAGTAGCCCATGTGCTGGTATTTTCCCTGTGTTAATACCTTCAGCATCCTCACTCATTTAGATGTTCTAGTTATAGATATATTTTTTCCCATATCCCATCTATTGTGTTTTCTTGCCTCTTTAGATGGCTCTTTGTGGCTTTCCTGATTGTCTGTATCTGATGGCTGAGGCACATAATCTAAAATGTGTGCTCAAATAAATGGTAAAACCAGAACATCTGAAAACACAGAAGTATTCCTGGTTGACTTATGATTCAAATAGGATCTTCTTCTTCCCAATTAAGCAAGCCTACTTGAACAAAGATAGCTAAAACATTGCTTTCACACAGACATTTTTAAAAATGTATCAAATAAAGAGAAAAAAAGGACATAGAAGATGATATGGGAAGAACATTACTTACTAAGTCATTGCCTTTAGAAATCTTGAAGACATGTATTGAATTGCTTTGTTTCTGAACTGGATGGAAGCTCTGCAAAAAAATCCTCCTGTGACTTCTTTCATTGCCTTCATTCAGTTTTACATTGTTTTGAAGGTCCAGGCAGAGAAGATATGTAATTGGACATTTGGTGAATGCAGGGGAGTGAAATTGTGTCCAAAGGTATTAGCTTATCTTAGTTTGAAGAGCAAGGAGAACATTTTATTTCATCTAACTTTTTATAGCAATCAATTAATGCTCTGCTTCAAGGATAACAACAGAAAGCCTTTATTCATTCTCATGGAAACATTGACATCTAGTGGGTCACTGCATTAATGCAGGCCGGCTCAAAGGCTGGGGGAAATCTCAAATCTTTGTGATATTCAGTGTGTTATGCTCTTTTCGATTAATTTGGCTCATTGATCTCACTAGATAGCTGCTGTTTATAATTGTGTATTTAAAAAAAAATTCAAAGAAATCTGTAGAAAACAAAATGAACATATCTCATCAATAGCTTTCATGTATGTTTTAAATAAATTCTTAAGGATTCTTTTACTTGAAGATCTAATTGTTGTTTGTAGGAATCAAAACTCATAATGGTTCACTGAGTTTTACTAATGATAGAAGCTATCTATTCGTGTTGGGAGATCCGCAGAGCCTGGCACAGTAGTTCCCAAACTTGTTAAATTTACAGATGACTTTGATAAACAGTATGAATGCTCTACCAGAAAACTGTATATTTAAGCAGCCACATTAAATTTTGCACACAACCTCAAGGAGTGCATAAAACATTTCAAGGTCAGGCTGTAAAAAAAAAACAAAAACAAAAACAAAAACAAAACAAAACAAAACAAAACACTAGTAATAGTGATAGGAAACTCTTTTTTCCTTTTTTTTTTTTTTTTTTTGAGACGGAGTCTCACTCTGTCACCAGGCTGGAGTGCAGTGGCTTACTGCAACCTCTGCCTCACTCGTTCAAGTGATTCTCCTGCCTCAGCCTCCAGAGTAGCTGAGACTACACACGCCCGGCTAATTTTTGTATTTTTAGTAGAGATGGGGTTTCCCCATGTTGGCCAGGATGGTCTCCATCTCTTGACCTTGTGATGCCCGCCTGCCTTAGCCTCCCAAAGTGTTGGGATTACAGGCGTGAGCCACCACACCTGGCCGATAGCAAACTCTTACATACCACTTCCTATGTGTCAGGTACTGTTTTAAGTGCTGTTCATATATTAGCTCATTTAACTCTGACAACTCTTCTAAGAAGCAGTTATTATTATTCACCCTTTCCACAGAAAAAGAAACTCAAACACAGAGAGATAAAAATATTGGCTTGAAGCCACACAGACCCTAGCAGGTAGAGTTAAGACTCAAACCTAAGTAGGCTGGCCCCAAGTTATATGTTCTGTCACACTGTCCAAAGCCTTCAGAGATGGCTAGACAGGTGGATGGAAACCTTAGACACTGGTTTCACTCTGGCCAGTCTCTTTAAGCAATCTCTTCAGACTACTGTAATTACTTCCTGTCCACTATTGCCTAGAATTGTATTGCAACAGATAGACATGCATTATCTAATGAGAGGAGAAGAAAACAGGCAGAGAAATAAGGCAATGTGTTTTGGGTCCCTTAAAATGGAGATACAATGCAAAAAATTGCATTAATAGGACCGGCAAGTCCTGTAGTCTTGGATTGACAGCCACTGGAAATAAAAATGACCCATACATAGATCACAAAAACACTGAATTTGAGCAAATATTGTCAGTTCTTGGGTGGCGGGAAATGTGATAGATCTTCTTTGTGCTATAAAACCTTTAATCTTTCACCTTCATACTTTTTCAAAAAGTTCCTTCAAAGCAAACTACCTGGATTAATTTTCCTGTGGTCTAGAAGAGAAGGGTTACAGCATCTGCTCCCTAGTATGCAATCCTCCTGGAGTGCAATGGTAATGAGGTTAGGGAGAAGTGTTCAAGTACATACTAGGTTACTGCCATCCAAGATGTCCCAGCTGGATCATCCTACTCACATCCTCCCCCGTAGGCTGCGGGGAGATTAAAGAAAAGGGCTGGTGGACAGTCAGAAACCTTCCTGAGTAGTGCCTGTCCCCTAAACCCCTAAACACTTGGCTGTGATAAAGAATCTCCTTTTGAACCCGTTTCTAGATGGCAAGAGAGGGAGTGGAAGGTCACTTCCACTTCTTTGAAAAGATCTGTTTATTTCCAAGGAACCATTTATAAATACGGGAGTCTCTCAATTACCTTTATCATACAATTTTCCTTTGAAATGGATATGGTGAAAACTTTGAAAGCATTCTTTTTGAATTCTAGGAAGTTTTCCCTTTCTCACCTTTAGCACAAATATTTAACCAAGCTAGAAATCATAATTGCTGTTTCACAAATGAAACTGGGTTTGTTAACACAGAATTTTTGAGGCAGATAAAGAGAAAGAGAAGTGAACATCCACGGATGGTAAAACATTTTCTCCGGAGTATCCTGATGAATCTAAAAGAAAGGCACACGTGTTTTCCAATTAAGAAAACGCCTGCCGAGCAAAGGGTAATGCCATATGTTTGAGTCTCTTAAATGGAAATGAACGGTCAAAAGCTTTTTGCTGAAAAAGAAAAGAAAGGGGTTGCCATTGCTCTTGTGGCCTGGTAATCCGAACTTCCGAAATCTCATCACTTCATTTCTGTTAACGCCACTATTATCTAAGTGCACTGGGACTCTTTAATATTGATGTCCTAATTCTATAATTAATGCAAGCAAATTTACCCTTTTCTACTTTGCCTTTAAAAATACCATTTGTCTCATTCAGAAAGAGAACTCAGTAGATTCCCAGCGTAGTTTTCAGCGATTTAATCTTCCGTGATAAAGCCCTGTGCTTTGTACTTCACCACTGGACTATCAATGTCTCCTCACAAACCCTTGAGGGATGAAATCAAAAGGCTTTTGAGATTCAGAATAGACTCCATCTACTGCCTCACCTTTTCCTTATTCTTTTCTGAGTGATATGAAAGACTTGCTCAATAAATGTTAAATGAATAATAAAGGTCAGAGGAAGGTCATAATTTCTTTTGAAAGAGGCACATTTTCTTAAACTCATCAAACTATAATTTTCTAACTACAGGGGAAATATGAATCCTCATTAACAAAGAATGGTGCTTTCATTTTCCACTCAGGACACAGACTTGTGTTCTCCTGATCTAGGTATCTATATAGAACCATATTAAAACGGACTGTGACTCAATACTTTGTAAAAATGGTAGAAGGTTTTATTGTAAAGAACTGAAACCTGCAATATAATGAGAATCGGATGTGGATTACAACACATAGGACACAACTAAGAAAGATTGTCAGGCTGGCTCTGAGACTGAACACCTCTTTGTAAGGACTAAGGGAACTCTTTTGCCAGTGGAGTTAAAGCACTGAGTTCTGCTTCTGTCTGGTTCCCCTTTGGTGGGTGCTATGTTGCTATTGCTCCATTAGGGTTTGTGCCAAAACCTTTAAAATTCAGACTAGAACTTTGTTTAGCTACTCACTGAAATAATGAAAATAATAAATAATGTTAGCATATTATATATATACTCTTATGACTATAATATAAATAATATCATTCCTTCAGGGTTTACTGTGCTAAGTGTTCTAGTAAACACTGCATTGTGTTTATTTTATTTAGTTATCCCCTAGTAAAAGAAAAGTTTCATGAATGCAGAGACATCTTTTTCTTATACACTATGGAACCACCCATACCTGGAACACTGTCTACTGTGTAGCTCATTGAATTAACTGATGAATGTTGATGGTATTACAATATATATTTGACAGATGAAAAAAATTAAGGCTCATCAATGTTGCTTTGCCTCTACATTATCAAAGAACAAGTCCCTTTGCGCACAGCTAGCAAGTTTTGGGGCTAAGGTATAACTCAGTTCTATCTAACTTCAAAAGCCAACAAATATATGTCACAGTAATGAAATCTATTGCCATGAAAAGCACTGCTTTCCTTCCAGATGTTATTGGTAAATTATTAGCCCTATGTCTCTACTCTGAGTGAGACACGGCTTCTCCGTGTTCGGCACAATGAACTCTATTCTCTCTTCTGCTATTAATACAGAAAACGTTTTAAAGTCCTTTATTGGCACTCTACCTACATGGTGCCCAGCTGGAATGTGGTCACTCGTTTGTGCAGGAAGATGACATTCTTATGAAGCAGCATTAAATAACACATAAACATTGTTTCATAACAATAGCTCTGGGCATTACACATTTTTTTTTTTTTTTTTTTACCAAATATCATATAGGTTTTACTGGGTCTCTCTAGTTTTTCAGCTATTTACCTTCTTTACATTCGACTTTTCACAACTTGTCTCCCCAAACGAGCTTCCTATCCTCAACTATTTTTGAAAGTTACAAGCTACATTCAGAAACTGAATGATATTCAGACTAAAAATCTTATGCTCAAGATGACTTAAGCCAAACACTAAGAAGTAGTGAAAAATGTGCTTCCTGGACTAAATTTGCTTGTGAATCCTTTGTGTTCTTCCCTCCTTCATTGAAGCCTGGAAGAAGCAATCCTGGGTAGTTGAGGGGGTCCTCACTGATCATTCACTAACCATATGATTTGGAGCAAGTGCTTCATCCTCAAAACTTTCAATTTGTAAACATCAGGGTAATTTTCAGAGTTTTTATTTTATCTTTGAAAATTTTTAATTTGTTATATTTAACACGAACATTACAAAATTCAAAAATGCCAAAGAATATTTGGTTACATGTAAATCTTCCACCACTCCTATCCTCCAGCTCAAAACCACTGTTTCCTATGCATCCTTCCAAAGAAATCCTTTGCATAGCCAAGCAGTTTTATTCATTTTTAACACCAAAGGTAGCTTACTATACAGAGTTTTCACATTTGTTATTTACTTATCAATATTTCTCAAAGGCTATTAAATATGTGAGAGTTCACCAAAAGCTTACTCATCCTTTTGAAAAGCTGTATGAGATAACTTCTGTACCTTATAAAATTATTTTTAAATGTAACATGGAAGAACAAACAGGTGAAAATATTCAAGACATTTTTGAAAACAGAATAATAATAAAAGGA